GGGGGGGGGGGGGGACGGTTGTCACGTGACACAATGGCTTGAAAGGTGGATGACGAGGGACTGCGGCGACGCGATGGCTGCGGGCGCTGCCGGCGGGATGGGCATGGCCGGGTTTGGGGTCGGGGCCTTGCTATGGGGCTGGGTGCTGCTGGGCTGTGTCTGGCGCCCGGGCCTACTGGGGGCCGACGCCTCTCGCAGTCACGGCCACGGCCACAGCCGCAGCTCCGCCCGCTCCGCAGCCATCTACCCGCTGGACGACTCGCACGGGCTGGGCCGGGAGTTCGACGGCATCGGGGCCGTGAGCGGCGGAGGGGTGAGCGGGGCGGGGTGGGGCGGGAACAGCGGCTGCTTGGTCCTTGTCCCAGCCGTGGCTGACTCCTGCCATGCAGCCCCACTTGGGCTCCCATCGGGCAGGGAAATGAGGGGCGCTGGGTAAGGCAGGGAGATGCTCACCTTGGGGCATAGCCTGGTATCATGTACATTTGTTGGGTTGCTAATGGGGCTGCAGCCGTATCCCTGTGGAGGGAGCTTAGTTCTGGGCTGCAGCTTGTAGCCCTGTGGAGTGTGTGAAGCAGCTGGTGCTGCTGCTTTTGGTGTTTTTTTGAAGGCAGGGATTCATGGCCAGGTGCCCTGGGGTGCTGTCGTGTCCTGTCAAGGGTGGCGTGGGGTGTCCCATGAAGGTAGCCGGATGAGGTGTGCAAACACAACTTGCAAGATGAGCCGAAGGATTTTGAATAGGAACCCATGGCGTTAAAAACACTCTAGCTTGTTGCAGTCTTAGAGAAGAATTGCTGTTTTACTCTTCCCAGAGTTGATGGCCAAGTGACAGTGAATAGGACACTTTCTGAGAGGCATGTCAAGTCTAAAAATCACTGATCTGATTGGATCTGACCTGATCCAAGGTGGAGAATCAGTGATCTAAGGTCTGAAAGATGTAGGGGGTGTGACTTGCTCGGCTTGGGGGAGCTGAGGCAGGTAGGTAGGTAGATAGGAGACTCCGAAGGGGGATTCCTACCCCTTTGGAATCCAGCTCAGTTCTACTGCGGATTAATTTTTATCTTAAGCTTTTTTTTTTTATTCCTGAAGGTGTCCCTCTAAATTGTTTAGAAATGAGTACCCAAAGAATCCAGTGAGTTTTTGGGGATCTCCACTCCTGTGACCCAAGTCCTGCTCTCCACCCATTAGCTGAGCTCTGCCACAGCACCTGAATATAGCTGATTCAGAGCTTATTGTTGGGCACGTGTCTTTCTTTCCCTAGCTTTTGTTCCTCATAAACCCAAAGGAGCTTTGTTTCATGGAAGAAAAACACCACGAGAGTAACTGTTTGGCTGGGTAAAGGCTGCTGTCCCTATGTGCCTTTGCTCTCTCTCCACCCCCACATTCTATCCCAGTTCATAGTATCCTGCTGCTGCTGGCAGCTGAACAACAGTAGGCTGTGAATGTCTTGTGCTACAAATATGAAAATTTGTGGTGACTTGAAGAAGTGGAAAACCATTTGTGTAGGTGGCTGGCGGGCTGAGCTCTTGGAAATAGGCTTAATTGTCAGTAGTCCTTGTGGGATTTTACTGTGGTGTTGTTTTAGGTGTCTAGAGTCTTCGCTAGGTATTGTTTGTTTTTAAAACAAAAGAACATTCCCACTCTCTAAATGATCTTTTTTCTCCTCTATGTACTTGTTCTCTTTTTCAGGCCACCTCTCGACTTCTTGTGAATTACCCAGAGCCCTATCGTTCTCAGATCTTAGATTTTCTATTTATGGTAATGTATATATTTATATCTAACTGATGTACATCTCTAATCTGAGTCCTGGTATTTACCATTATTTTTAATGGCACAACAGTGTAATGCATTATATGTGTGTTTATATGGTTTTCAGTCAAATCTTGCAAATGTTATTTAACACTTTTATAGCACTCTTACAAGATGCCAGTTGATTAAATGATGTAAATAATCATAGTGCTAAGTATATCCCTATTTTCCTTGTTTTCTAGTTGATATGTCATCTGGTGGGTTACATCAGAAGAACTTTTAGTCCTGGCTTTTTCATTGATTCACTCTGTAACTTGGGCCACTCAGGTCATGATTTTGTAAGCAGTCCTGCATGTGCTAACCTTCACGTACATGTGTTATCTGTCATTTGTGATGACACACTTTGGTTGTGTAGAATTAACTATTAGGGCTGTGTGAAGTTTTGCTTGGTAATTTGATTTGGTGGCCAAATCAAATCGGGGGACCAATTAAAAGGTCTGAATCAATTTTTAAAGCTCTCTGAATCTTTGGAAAATATTTGGAGAGCTTTGATTTGGACAGTTCCCCGGTGGCTGCAGCAGGAAGCTGCAGCTGGACTTGGAGCTGGTAAGTTGGGAGGGGACCATGGGGAGAGACCCCTGCTATTCCCTGTCCACCTTGGCTCCTGGCTCTTTTTTTTAAAAGCCCTGGTGTTCACCGGGTGCTGCTGGGATGGGGGGGGGGGGCGATCCCACTGCCCCATGCTGCATGGGGGTCTCTGCATGAGCCCCCTGATACCCCCTTCCCCTGCCTACTGAGGCTCCAGTCTTTTAAGAAAAAAAGACAGAGAAAAGCCCCGGGACTCACTGCCATGAAGAGTCAACATCCTGTGAAGTTATGATGAAAGAAATTATACTGAAATGACTAAACAGTTAAGAGCAACTTAGTAACTCTTGTAAGGATAACTCGTATCTTGCCTTCTTTTGGAGTTTTAGTTCTAGAGGTGATTACAGAGACTTCCTCCAGTTTCTAAAATATTTGGGGATCCTGAGCTAGGCATAGAAGTTGCCTTTTAGTCTATAAAGTAGATAAAATGAAGGATTTGGTTAGCTGCCTCTGTAGATAGTAAGTTTTGAGCAATGCTAACTTAAGAGTGTGAAAGGCCTTGTATGTTGTGTGACTACCTAAAGCCACTCTAGTTGACCTGGCTCTCCAGCTTGCTGTGACAGTTCCATCTTCATAAAATTAATATTCTAGAATACAAGTTTGTTAATGTCCTGAATTCTTTAGTTAAACTGATATCCATTCCATTGTACCAATAAAGCTGCCCACTCTAAACCACATCAGACCCTGTTTATGTTAGTTTTGCCAGTGGAGCTATATTGGCTTAAGCTGTTGACAAGAGCTAGCTACAGCTAATGTAATTCTGCCAGTGCAAACCCCTGAGAGAGGACCTGGCTATGCTGACAGACAGCTTCTGTTGGTGGATCTTCAGATATCTGAGGGAGCTGAGGTAACTCTGGTGGCAGGACTTCTGTTGTGTCTGTGTAAGGCACCTGGCTCTGGTAGTGCTGCTGCCAAAATGAAAGTGCGAGAGGTTCTGTAATATACAAACACCCACTTAATCTAGTATAGTCATAGAGTACAAAAATGGTCCTAAAAACCCTGTAGGTGTTGCACAGGACAACTGCAATTTGCATTTCTTTAGCACAATAAAAGTGTCGTCTTTGGGATGGCAAAATGTCACTTAAACATTTGTTCCCTGGCTTTAGCCATCTGGACCAGGGGTGTCAAATTAAAATTGGTCTGCCTTGCAGGTACCATAATTCTTCACCAGGATTTTTTAGTTGGTTTACACCTTGTGACACCTTTTTGGCATGCTAACAGCCATCTTTATCATATCCACTTTTAAATTTTGTGGATGTGGGTTTTTTTTGTTTTGTTTTTTTTAAAAAAGGTATGAACAAGCTTCTGGCTAGCATAAAACTGGTTTATTTTCATAAAAAAGAAGAAAAATTGCTTTTGTTCTCAAATGGAAAATAAGCAGAACATAAGATGAATTCAAAACACAAAAAAACTTTTACACGCACCAATATATCACAAAGTGGTAGTCTTGCTCTCAGCATCTGGCTCTTCAATGTTTGTTTCAATGACTCTGAGGCCAATTTCAGGATGATGTTCAGGTGCTTGTGACTGTCACTGAGTCCCTCATCACTGATAAGATTGCAAGCACGTGGGTTCACCAAACACACATTGCTGGATAGTTTCTCTCCCCTGGCCCCCCCCCCCAATGTATCAGTAACACTTGCGAATCATCACTGCTGAGAACTTATCCTTCTGTGTAGTGTCATACTGAAGAAGAGTGAATTCTATTTGCAGCTCTGCTTGCGAGGGGCATCCTCCACAGGGGCAGAGAACAGGGAAAAGTCTGAATTCTGCTTCATGGCTTTGAATTTGTGTTGAAATTTGTAGCCAAGATCAATGGTGGTTACCACATGCTTCTCTAAATGCTCTACCTTAAGTTCCAATGCCACTAACCTATGGGGAAATGTACTGCTGTAAGCTGTTTGAAACAAAGCTGCCTCTCTTTGGGAAACAGGCCTGCAAAGTATTCCTGTCATTGTCTGTCTTTCTTCAGTACTAGCTCCACAAACTGTTCATCTACACACCAAATGAACATAGCTACCTATGCAACATCATTCGCATGCACTGCTATCAAGTGCTATTGAGAGAGAAGCAAACGCTAGTCTGGAGTGAACTCTGTAAATTATCTGATGAGTCGCACATTCTGTTGGCTACTGTGTTTCTGAAGAGGCTGCCTTTTTATTTATTTATTTATTTTGGTGGGGAGGGGAAAAGCTTGCTGATTCTCTGGGCGCATCATGCCTGCAGCTTTTGCCACACATTTTGAGGACTATAGGAAAGCAGCGCTGGACACAACCCACCTCTTAGGGTCATATAGTCTAGCCTCCGCTCAAGACTGGATCATCCCTGAATAAATTATCTCTGGCAGATGTCTGTCTAACCCGCTTTCTGATTTTCAAGGATGGAGATTCTGCAGTTTCTATAGGTAGCCTGTCTGGTGTTTGACCACCCTTGTAGTCTGAAAGCTCTCCCTAATCTCTAGTTTAAATTTCCCTTGCTGCAGTTTGTCCTTTCCCTTATGGCCACAGAGAAAAGCCCATCTTCATTCTTTCTGTCATTGCCCTTCACATATTTGAAGACTGTTATTCAATCCCAGCTCAGTCTTCTCTTCTCCAAATAACCCTAGCTCTTTCAGTCTTTTCTTATAAGTCATGTTTCTCAGGCTCCTAATAACTTTTTGGATATCTGTGCTGCACTCTTTCCAAGCTGTCCATATCCTTCTTGAAGTGTGGGGCCCAAGGGTGAGGCCTTGTCATTGCTGAATAAGGTGGAAGAATCACTTCCTTTGATTTCCAAGAGGCACTTCTGTTGATACAACCCCATATGCTGTTGACTTGTTGGAAAAAGGAAAAAATCCCAAAACCTCACTGTTGGCTCATATTCATTATGTGGTCCACTGTTCCCTTCCCCCTAATTCCCCTCCCAGGTCCTTCTCTTCAGTACTACAGGCAAGTCCGGCATTCCCCAGTCTGTATTGCTGCATGCAGTTTTTCTGTCCCAAGTGTAGGACTTTGCATTTGTCCTTGTTGAATCTCATTTGATAGCCTGGAAAAATGTTCCCAAATTAATCTAGGTCAGTCTAGATCTTATCCCTGCCCTCTAGAATGCCTGCAACTCCACCCAACTTGGTATCATTCACAAATTTGTCACAAGTGGACTCAATCCCATTGTTCAAATCATTAACGACTTTGAACTGTACTGAACCTAGGACAGACCTCTGGGGAACCACACTTGATAATCTCCAGGTAGATGTTGAGCCATTGATGAATACTTGTTGAGCACGATGATGCAACAAGTTACATATCCACCTTTTTTCCTTTCATCTAGTCTTCATTTCCTTAGCTTGTTAATGAGAATATTGTGGGAGCCTATCAAAAAGTTTGCTAAAGTTGAGGTACATCACATACACCTCTCTCTCCCTATCCACAGTCCATGGCACCTTACTGCTAAAGGAGATCAAGTTGGCCAAATCACTACTTTTTGATGAATCCATCCTTGGTGTTCTTGATCACCTTTTTTCCTCTAGATGCTTCACAGTAGATTACTGGAGGACCTGCACCATGATCTTTCCAGGTATCAGTGTTAGGCTGACTGGTCTGTATTTTCCACTGATCTTCCTTCCTTTTCCTAAGGGTGGGTACTATACTTGCGCTTTTCTAATCATCTGGGACCTCACCTGACCTCTAGGGCTGCGTACAGCCATACATGGACATTTGGTTCCCCAGGGACAACTAGCAGTGGTGCACCTTTTTCTGCCAGTACTTGTCCGTGTGGAATGCCTGTGCTACACACACTCTGGCTTGTGGCAAGTTACCCTGGGTGGGGTAGGGGAGGCCAGGGCCAGCACTGGGCTGGCCCTAGCAGCCTTACCTGAGGTCATGCCAAGGCTACAGCTGCATTGCTCCTGCTGTGGTTGGCAATGGAGTACAGTTCAGGCTGGTCAGGCTCCGGCTTTGGGCAGTGTGCGCTGCTGCTACATGTGCTGCTCTACTTGTTTTCCAGTAGGTTTTTCTGACCTCTGGATATCCGGGGTCATAAAAAAACAAACAAACCCTATGCACTGCTCCCGGGCAGCTCAGAGAACAAAAACTGAACGTGTCGTATGTAGCACTGCAGACGTATCTGTGGTGCTGCATATCACACGGCCTAGGAGTCCTCAAGAAGAGTAGCTAATGACTCTGAGATTACCTTAGTCAATTCCTTTAGTATGCTAGGGTGCATTCTTTCTGCGCCTGCTGACTTGAAAGTAGGCTGTCAGGTCCCTGTCTTACTGCCAACTATGCTGGTCATCTAGCAGCTGCCCCTATTTGTGAAGCAAGTGAAGGCATTAAATATAGTTTCTCTGGTGTTTCTCTTACTTTTGGTAACTGCGTATTGTCCCTTTTTATTGCCTTTTATGTCCCGTGCCGTCCCTTGTCAGTTGCATTTGAAATTGCCTTGAGATTCCTAATTTTCTCTCCATGCCCATGCAAGGCTTGTGTATTTTTTCCCTAGTACTATGATTCTTCCCTAATATTAGCCAGGCTGGTCTCCTGTTGCACTTTCCCTTCTGCCACATCCATATGGCTTGCTTCTGAATCCTTAAAAGGGTCTTCTTAATATATAGTACAGCCAGCCAGAGTTCTTCAAGAAGTCTCTTTCAGCAAAGTACTTTGAAGAATCATATATTTCTTCAGAAAGGACAGAGTAGTCTGTTGTTGCTGTGTCACTTGCATGATGCATTTATGTGCAGATAAATGGCTTCATTTTTCAGTAACTTCAAATCACTTGGTTTGTTTTCATGCAGGTTCCCAGAAAACTTGTCACTTGACACCGTGCCATGACTTTACTGTTTCAAGGTTGTGTTCCTTGGAGCAGCCACTGTATGAGAGCTTCTATTTCTCTTAAAATTCACAACGCTCCTTGTCCACTTTCCTTGTCTAAGTTGTGATACCTGGTGTACAGTTAACTGAAATATGAGCTGTGACGTGCTTGTTATGCCACAGATGACTAATATTGATAAAAAGTGGATATGTCTTGTACAAAATACCATTACTGTTTTCAAATCCTTTCTATTCTAACTGCTGTGTTTTACACAGTGTCACCTTACATGCAGAGTGTCAACTCTTCATGCGTGCCAGCAGCCTGTCAACAACAACCCTATGAGCTCTGTCACCTTTTGTAGCACTCTTGCTATGTCTTAAAACATTCATGACATTCTAGTGTTTTTCTTTCTGGCCATATTAGCAAGGCAGAGAATTGGTGGAGATAAGGAGCAGAGAAATGGAAGGGCTAACAGAAAGATGAGCCATGTTTGTAACACAAAACGAAAGGAGGAGGAAGGAAGCTGAGAAGGAAACATGAGGAGAAAGAGCAGGCATTCCTAGGGGGAGATGCCCTGGCCAGAGAACACTGTTGTGTGATTTACAGCACCCAAGGAGAGTGAGGCCACCTTCCAGTTATCTTTGATGTTAAGCTCATGGAAGTTGCTGAGAAACCCAAGAGGAAATTTTGAGGAGAAAACAGTGGATTGAATGACCCATCTCCACAGGCTGTATTTGGCCTACAGGTTGCATGTTTGATACCCCTGATCTAGACCATAGCTGCAGCACAGAATGACTCTGAAGATTAGCAAGTGGGGAGAGGAGGTGGATGATATCACGTATCTGTCTTTCCCTTTTGTGTGTCCAGTCTTCTGTGGATGCACATTCTGTGGATGTTCCCTTTACAACTGCTTTTAAGAATTTAGCATACGACCCTTTCCATTAGATTCAATTCCTTACTACAGGTGTGGTTGCTAGAACCCTTCTGACTTCTAAAATGATGACGCTCTTTTGAAATCTAGTCATATTAAAATTAATGTGTCCCATGTCTCATGGGGTTTTGCCTTTTTGACGCTGCTATTTTTTTACACGTTGCTGTGCTAAAGATCCATGCAGAAAAGGGACAATTGACTAACTGTAGGAGTTGCAGTGAAACTGAAATCGAGAGCACTCTATTTGATCAAAGTAACAAAACTGAAAAGAGGAATGGGGTTGTAAGGAAAATTCTTTGCAAGGGATTACACAAGTGATGGTGGTAGTAACAGGTAAAAATCTTCATACAGAAGGTAAGCTTCTGGTCCCTTCAAACTGGTATATTCATTTTTCATTGTGTTTTTTTTTTTTATGTCTACAGCAGAAATATATATTTATTGATGTTTCTTTCTCTCTCTCTTCCCCCTCTCCCAAGCCAAATTTTGGTGCCTCTCTGCATATGCTCAAGGTTGAGATTGGAGGTGATGGTCAGTCAACAGGTATGAATGCATGGTTTGCACTTTAAACAGTTTGGTGATGCAATAGATGGTTTAGATGGTACTTGTCTCTAAAATGTCAGTTCACTTGAAGGACTAATGCTTGCCATAGTGCATATGGGACTCCACCTTAGAAACAAGTCAGTTGCTAGCAAGGTTCTACTCTCATTGACATTGGAAAATCTGCCATTTTCCTACGAGCTGTGGTATAGATTACAGTTTTCATATCTGCCTGGGAGTCCTGCTTAGGGGATGGGAATGTAAACTTCCAGTTATGGCACTACATTTTAGTCTACTTGCAACATAATCTGCCTTAAATTTCCATACAGTATTCTAAGGAGTATCTTGGATATCTTCCATAAAATATTCTGAGGAATGCCTCACTTTTTTATTAAGAAATGGTGAAAATTGGCCGTTTAAGGAAATGAAACCAGTGTTCAAATTGCCATAATGTTTCAAGGGTTATACTTGACCTCATGCAATCTAGGTGTGCAGCATACTTGGATTATTTAAGAGTAGTTTATAAATTTAAACCTCTGGTAGTTGGTGTCTGTAGGTTTTATCTATGGTTGGTTCTTTTGTTCATTTCTAAGTTGTTTGGAATGCTCAGTTTCCCATTTTCTCCAGATACCTTCCCATATTACATCTGCTGCTTTTGCAGCTCTTTTAAGATGTAGATGCAGAAAAAAACTGAAGATCAACAGATGTACATGCTTTTGGGTCCTTTGAGCCCAGGGTTTGCATGCATAATTACTGCAGTGAGTCTCCCAATGCTTGAAGAAGGGAGTTTGTGCCTGAAAGCTTTTAAAATTTTTTCCCCCAACTATTTTAGTTTGTTTAATAAAAAATACCACATTTACTAACCTTGCCTGTCTATGCCCTTAGACCAAAATGGCTACAACCAACAACCCTAATGACTGCAGTTGCATGCACAAATAGTTAACCATTTCTGTACATAGCTAGGTGACATTGTATATACAGTGGTGGTAGTCATTATGTTTCTATCTCATTTTGCAGCTTGCAGTTCTGTGAAAACAATATTATACATGTGAATTGCACAGTCTCCTCTAGGAATGGTAAAATGCCATAGAAACTGTAATGCAAGGTCTTACAGAAAAAGGGAACTCCCTTTGTCTGTGAAACCGTGTAATTTTAGATAGATTCTCAGTTTCATAAAAATTCCCCACTCTTTTTCCCTTCCCCAAGAAGCAAACATGTTTGAAACATCTGTTGCATTGTTTCAGTTCCAGTATTTCTCATAGTGGTGAAAATGCTTTCCTCTTTTTCCTGGTCCAGTAATGTTAATGCTGTCATTGCTTTGTCAAAAGAAATATTGAATGTAGACTCAACGTTTTTTCTGTCCCTCAATATTATCATGCTAACAGAAGCTGCAAGAACAGGTTGGAGTCCCTTTTGGAAGGAGGTGTGTGGAAATACTAAACTGACAGTTTACTTAGTATGATTCCTGTACCTTATTTTTGACCAATAAGCTAAAAGTGAGCAGTTGCTAGACCTGCCTGTTCAGTCCCATAGTTTATTGTACTTCACTCATTCTTTGATGTGGATTGAAAAGTAAGCTGTACTTGCATAATATAGTGATAAGCAACATGGAAACCACTGTGATACGTAAGAGTCTGTCATGGCACAGAGACAAGTTGCTAATTATTTTCTTTCTCTATCTAGATGGTACTGAACCATCTCACATGCACTATGAAAATGATGAGAACTATTTCCGAGGCTATGAGTGGTGGCTGATGAAAGAAGCTAAAAAGAGGAACCCCAATATTAAATTGATTGGTAACTGTTTTAAGGTTCTGGTTTCTGAATGCTCTGTTTTCAAATGGGATTTAATACTTGATGCTTAATGTGCTTATTAATTTTAATGAAGCAAATTGGCCAGCTTGTCTTGCTCTTCCTGTTGAAGGAACAATATTTCAGCAGTAAACATAGAACTGTAAAACATATACTTTAGGCTCTGACTTCATATAATGACTTCCTGGTGCCAGCTAGTGACTATGCTCAGACTTAATTACCAAACGAAAGCAGCTGGTGTGAGAAGCATGTTAGTTATCTAACATGAGCTGAGTGTTTGAGCAACAAGTTAAAGTCTTACATTTGACTAATGTATGTTCCATACTACTCTTTTACAATTCCCTTTTTAGGAGGCAAAGATGTGCCCTCTCAGAGGGTGATGGGGGTTTCTGTTCTGCTCCCTTGCTTGCCCTCCCCCCTCCCTCCCACTCTTCCTTCAGGGGAATCTTATCACTGACAGCCTTGTGGAAGGGGGACCACTGGGTAGGCTATCCCTGTTTAGTAGCCAGCTATACCTGCTGTAGTTATCTGGAGCAACAGCATGGTCCCTGATACCTGGCTACCCTTGATAGAGGGGCTGTCATTGAGCACCCAGACAGCATTGATTAACTGTGTGGGCTTTTTTCTCCCCCCCCCTTCGCTCCACTTCCCCAGCTGCCCCACCACTCTCCATCGTCTGCTAGCACTGTGGGATGCTAGGGGAATGATTTACTGTCCCCTTGTAACACTAGAGTGAACCATGTGTATATGCTACAGAGCACTACAGAGAAGTTACTGCTTCATCCAGGTATGCCTTTGAGGAACTTTGCCATTTCATAGTGGTATTGATGGGGGGTGAAGAGTGGGCGGAATTACATTTCTGTCCTTTCAACTTTTGTAATAATACAGAGGCTTCAGTAGCATTCCAGATGTACCATCTCACCACAGCCACAGTTGTCACCAAATATCTGCTATATTCTCTCAACTACTGACTTTAGGAAATATAACTTGTTCATCTCAAGTTTATAGAAGTGTTGTGCATGTCTGTTCGGTACAGATTGAGGTACCCCAAGTTCTATGATTTAGACAGTAATGGAGCGATACACTGCAGTTGCAGTGAAAAATGCATTACACAAATGTACAGTGTTATAATTGGTTCTGGCTCAATTTTAGTTTATCCGGGCACCAATTTTTACCTATGCATTGTAGCAGCAAGATGATAATGCCTCTTATGGCATGTGACTTGATTCTTGTGTATAACTTACTCATTTATACACTGTGCAGTTTCCAAATTGAGCAGTTTACAGCACTGCCCAACTGGTGACATGTTACAAAATGAGGCTTATTAATTGCCAATGATTTATCCAGAAAAGCCACAAGCTTAAAGTGCATACAAATGTTCTAGATTTCTTTAAATACTGAAGAGCTAAGGTTTACTGTTTTAATCTCCTTAAGTGATACAAATCCTTTTCCCAAACTATTGCAAAGTAGACTGCCCTTTCTGGTTTTTCCTGTCTGGTTTCTAGATTATTTGCTTTTGTCCATTAACTTCCTACTTCTCACAGGTCTAGCTTACCCAACACTCTCTTCCTTTTTTCACAACTTCCTTTACTATTCTAGCCCCTTGGGCAAAGTTGTCTTTTAAGTACTTTTTGCAATTTAGTGTTGCTTAATGATTTATAAAGTTTGCAAAATTTGAGAGCTATCTTTTTTGGAGTAAGAACAAACAAATTATCCAACTCTTCCTCTGAAAGTGGAACTGAACCAGAGAATGCAAGTGAAAACAGACTAGGTTATTCATTTTGGAAGTGCCTCTGGACTGTAATGAGGATCAGGACTTCATTGGTACTGAGACTTATGTGAGCATGAAGTAAAGGGCAGGTCTTTAAAGAGCGCTCAGGCAAACCTTTGATCCAAGTGAGTGTACTGAGCAGAGAGAGGGAACAGGATTGGGTAGGAAAGGAAGATCACTTTGTTACATATGATAGCTATTGCACAGTGTCAGAGAAACAGTGTATAGTTTTAGGCAGGGGTGTTCAGGCTTCTGTCAGTACCAGGATGAGGAGATAGCAGGTGAGGGAGATGGTGATTTATGTTTAAATCCTTCTGAGATGGAGTAGACGTACCTTAGAGGCAGGCAGAGAGGTAGAGGAAGAAGTTAAGGGTTTAGATGTGGGTCCCTAGCAGCAGTGGAGGCAGTGGTTGTGGTATGAATAGGATAAGAAGGGAGGGAAAGAGAATGGCCAGATCTATGATAAGGAGGAAGAAGTGGATGTGGGATTTGTTTTTAAGGATAATTGCAGAGGTAAGTGAAGGTGGTGGATTGTGGGGGTGACATTGGAAGAAGAAAGAGGCAGGGAACATGTAAAATATGATCTGTCGCTAACCCTTACTTACTGCTTCTAGACAATCTTGAATATCCAGGTAATTGATTCTGCTATTTTCTAATGAACAGTGTTTCTGCATTAAAGCTGTTAGTAATCAAGAACTCAAGAAATAGAGGTTTCCCCTTGTCCAGCTTGGGTTCCTTGAAAAGAGGCAACAATAGTATAATACAACTGTCCAGTGATGTGGTTCTTCTTTACTTATGAGAGGTGGTATTACTTTTTTTTTTTTTTTGAGGGGGGTTAGGCATAAGGATGGATGCTGAGCCTCCATATATTTAAATATGGGCTGTGAGTTTTACTGGACACAACTTTGACTTCAGCCAGTGAGGATAAGAGCTATGACAGACAATGACTAACAGTTATAGGTTTCTATAAAGCTATAATTATTTTTGCTAAGGTTGTGCTTGGTGAGGTAGTCTCAGCTAGTAGTCAACAAAACTATGCTTTTTTTTTTTTTTGTCCAATCGAAGTGCTGTTGTTTGCCGTAGGCATCTGGCCCTGGGTCTTTGAATAGCACGTGGGAGAGGGCTTGTTTTTGTTGCATATTGATAAGTATGGGATGCACACTTAACTGCTTTTGTTCATTTGTATTCTGTTTTCTCTTTCAGGGTTACCATGGGCATTTCCTGGATGGATAGGGAGGGGTGAGAACTGGCCCTATGATTATCCTGATGTCACTGTTTACTATATTGTTTCCTGGATCTGGGGTGCAAAGCAGTATCATGATTTGGACATCGATTATATTGGGGTTAGTACAGCTTAAATCTTGGATTTATTTGACAATCTTTTTATCTTGGTCCTTGAGTTCTTGACTTTATTCTCTGATCTTCTCCACTGCCTCTTATCTCCCATCACTCTTTGGCAGACGGTTAAAAATCCTCCATAATCAGAAACTTGTGCTATTACTCCTGGCTTTTAAGAGAGAATTTACGTGGACTGGCATTGTTTTACTATAGATGATTGCAAAACTTGTTTTCAGTACTTGAGCGTTTCAGAATCCTATGCAAACTGTATCAAATGACCACTTGACTTTGACTTGTTTCATTCTGTATGTTTTATGTGAAGGCCATAGGTTACTTAATCAAAATGCAGTAATTGACGTTTGAGAACTTGCCAGGCTCAGGTTATGCGACCTATATTGCATATTGAGGTGCAGCTAGCGCTTGGCAGTGGACAACCACATTAGAATACACATCATCGCATGCTAATGTATCTATATTTATAAAGTAGTGTGGAACCATGGAAACTGCACTTATTTTCCAGTTTAAAGAAATATTCTTATTCCTTGGTTTAAGATTAGAGGCAGCACCATCTGGAAAACTGCTCTCAGACTGAGATTGCTTGGAACTTTTTAGACCTCCTCTAAAATGCATTTCTAAGAAAACTTTGTCTCTTCCCAATCTCCACCCTAGTATGTTTCTGTTGAAACTTGTGGGTTTTGCTTCTGCAGCAGATGAAATTTAAAATAAAATCAGAGGTGAATGCATTTCACTGTTTTATGGCAGGTGTTCCACTTTTTAACTAGGAAGATGTGGAAACCAGGTTAACTGTAGTTCTGTTACTAGTCCCTGGGCTCCAAAGAGTCTGTAGCATGTCTTTTGTGACTGCAGCAGGGTGTATATTTGTCTTCTACAAATCTACAGTGCATCTCAAGCCTTCAGTGTTCCTGAGTCTTCCTTGCCTGGTAGGCCTCTTTTGCCCTCAAGTTGGTAAATAATGAAGATACTCTTTGGGCACATCTTACACAAGACGCTAACTGCTCAGTAGCTTAATAATACTGGTCAATAGCGTGACACAGCATGGACAGCGCTAATATGCTACTGCACGGTATTATTAGGCTACTGTGCTGTAGCATCACTTAAAACGTTTGCTGGCCTTACTGTGCAGTAACTCCAGTTACTGTGCATTTATTTAGTACTTGCTAATACAAGTACTAAATAAATGTGCAATAACCACTGCGCAGTAGTGTCTTGTATAGATGTGCCCTTTTAAGTTTTTAGTTTTGTTTGTATCTTGCTTTTGGAATATTCACCTTGCTAAGAACAGCATGGAGCCTGTGGTTTCCAAAACTGAGAATTTTTTGGGTCATGCAGTGTCTGGTTTCTGTATTGAATACCATGCACTATGCAGTGTTTGACCTTTAAAAAGTTTATTATGAATAGCTCTAAGAAAGGAGAAGTTCTGTTTTTGCTGATGATGCGTTTTGTTCTCTTGGCAGTTAATCTTCACTATAGGGAAGTAGCAAAGGTTGTGCGGAGTGCCAGTTGGCACTAACTATTTGCTAGACTACCACTTACTTGCTTATAATTTTCTTCCCTTCAGAACTGCAAATTGTATTGTGCAGTGGATAACATCAATTGTTCCTTAATGTATGATGAATGACAGAAGCTCTTTCCTTCCATATTTTGATGGGTTTCCTGAAGAGACTTCCCACCAAACACTACATTTATATCTGCAGTCATAAACCTGTGTAATGATAACCTAGCTGTAGTAGACCTCTGGCAATTTTTGGTTATTTCTCTTCAGAAGGAAGGAGGTAGGTTTCTCTAGGGAAATAAACAGTTGTTTTGAATTTTTAGTAAAAGCTATTCTCTTGAGATACCTGTAACAAAAACACATTGGAGCTGTGCACCTTAAACCTGGGAATTAATTAGTGGCTTTGTAATCATGTAGAACAAATCTTTCCTTTCTTGCTTTGATGGATTTGTGTGTGTGTTCTAACCTGCTTGTCACATTTGTTTTACAGATCTGGAATGAAAGATCATTTAATAGCAAATATATCAAGGTATGTAATGGCTTTCCTTGCATCTTTTAAGCAATGAAAATGTCAGTTTGTTTCAAAAGTCGATTACATATGACTATAAAAACAAAGGTGTTTGGGCTGTTGTATGTGGAATAATCAGCCATTGGAATTGGACTGAGTTAGGGGTCCACTTTTTCAAGTACTTTTGTCTAGTGAATTACCCATCATTGTTTAGAGTGGCTTAAGGCTTGGAGTGCTTAAATGGATATGTTAATTGGCTGAAATTTTAAATTTTTCTGAACAGAGCAGATTCATTTAAACGAGAAAGCCACAAGCTTGACTTCAAATAATTGATTTTTAGCCACTTTCTTTGTGTGAGTTTTTTATTTTTATTGGTTGATATAACAATTAAACCATGTTGACTTACAACTAAGTACAGGTTTTGACAGTAGATTTGGTACATGTATCCTAGGTACAGTGTGTGTAGCTTAACATATTTGTATTGTTAGCAATCTTGCATTTTAGTAGTATGCTATAAAAGGTAAAATATTTCTTATTCACTAGATTAACTTTTTTGTTTCTATTTGTATCAAGCTAAGATCGCAACTTGAATTTAATTAACTGCACAAAATCAATACTTCCAATTTATTAAACACAACTTTAATATTTTAGATACAGAAACTTTTTTATCAAAACATGGTATGCACTTAAAACTAAATTTATTAAGCACTAGTTTTACCTGTTATACAATAAACAGTATGAACTGTGGTTAGTGAATTAAACCAATTATTTCAGCTTGCCTTGGGGAAATTTTTCTCAAAGCCTAGATGAGTCATTTGAGCTTACGTTCATACTTGCCTACTTCTCTTTTTAAAATGAGATGGTCAATTTTTTACCTAGATCATTTAAAAAAAAAATTATGCCTTTTCTTTCAAGTTCTTAGAACTCATAGATCTCATCCTGCTCCCCCTTTGTATCCATAGCCTGAAAGAGAAAAGCAAACTTCCTTGCTTTTTCAACTCCAGATCAGTTTCACAGCTTTTGAATGGAGTGGTAGTGATTGGCCCCTAATACATGAACTATTGTTCCATTATTTTTAAAGCCTGACCTCAAAAATCATGTCCCCCCCGCCCCCCGATCATTCTTTATATAGAAGAAAATCAAGCTTTAATTCCAGAGTGTTTGGTAGAGGCTTACTGAATCAATATATTTTTTTCATATAAATTATATTACATGTATACCTTGACATATGCTGCATTAAATTCAAACTTCATTCTAAAATCACTTATTTTTAAAAAGGAAAACTTATTTGAAGTGGATGTTTTCATTTTAATTAAAAAAAAAAAAAAAAAAAAAAAAAA